CCCCCCCCCCCCCCCCCGCTCTATCATATGAGTTGCAATATTGTGATGGAGTATGTAGAGTAGATAGAGATACCTCCACTATTATCTTTGTGCTGTTAAACTACGTGGGTTTTTGTTCATTTAGCTGTAAACATGTTGACAGTTTAACTAATGCTTGCTATACCATTCCTTGAGTCAACAATGAAAATGTAATGCTTTATATACAACTCAAGCTTGCATTGATGCAAAAGTTTGCATTGCATTAGCTACAAGTGTTTGGACTTGCATAGAGTGTTTTTATAAAATTGAATTTTCTCCTTTAGTACGCAGTAAATGCTCTGTTTTACAAGTAAAGAGACACATTTAAAGGGAAAATCTCAAAGCTCAGTCAAAAAAAACAAACACACATAAAATGCTAACGTTTCGCTAAAGTATCTTCAGAAATGACTCAAAACCAGCAGCATTCAGAAGCGTCGTGAGATGTCCCATGGGAAAGCAAAGTAGCTCAATGTAGAGAATGACAAGTTGATCTGTTTCACCAAGCGTTCTTAGTCAGCACTTGTGTTGTGCCTGAGGAAAGACTTCTGAACCTTCTTACAGCAGGGTGGCTGGATAGCAGCTGACCTTGCACTCAGCAAATCATTGCACCGAGGGCTTTCTGTGGATTCGTGGAGGTTAAAGATGTATAACTCTGGGTGTTGACACAACCAATTTCCAGTGTAAAGTTTCTGTCCTCGCTGTGAAAGTGAAAATGCTTATGGTGAAAAGTCATATGGTCAGAAGAGCGTGTCTTGTGTCCATGGAGTCATTGACATTTCTTCTATCCTCCACTTCTTCCTGTCCTACTTGTCTTCAGTAAATAGTTACCAGTTCAAAATTATGTCAGAACTACTGAGACAAAATATTATAGGGTAGAGTGGGGGAGAACGTAATTTTTTTTCTGTGAAACAAAAGTTAAATGTGTCCAGAATAATGACATAAACTAAGTATGACAAATGTCTATAGAGTTTTCAAGTTATTAGATCTTAAACATGTGTACCAAGGGGGCATTTTGCCCCACAGGTGGGGTAAAATGCCCCCAGTCTGACAAAGCAATTTGCTTTATACATTTACAGCAAAATCTGAGTACAGGCAGTTTTAGCTTAAAATTAAAAAGAATATAATCAATAACTACAGAAATTATGCTGGACCAAAAAATGGCCAACCTCCAGAATAAATGGATTGCTGGAAGACATGAAACCCTTCTTCTGTGGTGTCAAAGTGGTATACACAAAATTGCTCCAGTCCTCTAATTTGATTGGCTGAGTAAACAATGTGTGTGGTTTTTTATTAATTTTATTTTATGTATATGTATATATAGTTTATTTATATTAAAGTGTTCAGTTAAATATATGTAAATACATATTGTTAATACGGCTATTTTTATTACTATTAATAATAATAATAATAATAATACATACATACCTACTTTTTTAATGATTTAAAAATATATATTTGGTAAGATATATTTAAGTAAATGAAAGTATATGTAAGTAAATGCTTTTTATTTGTTTCATATTGTTTTTATTCTTTTATATTCAAATATTTGGTCAAATATATGTAGGTAAATATCATGCATTGTTTTAATAGAATGCATGCATTAACTATTTTAACTTTTTTTTAAATACATATTTTATTACTTACATTTAACATTTTTTATTTAATTTGGATTCATTTATTTTGGATTTAATTCATTTATTTATTTATGTATGAATATAATCAATAACTACAGAAATTATGCTGTGCCCCCTGGGGGCGTTTTACCCCACAGACTAGGTTTGAAAAAAAAATGATGTCATTCTGAAAATATAATAATATATTTTTTTAAATAACACATACTCCCTTTCTACAGGCCTTAGTATTCTCATATCATATATAACTGTGATGTTCTACAAAACAACAAGCTTTAAAACACTTTTTTTCTTACTGCTGAAAATTAGATCACTTACTGTGAAATGCGTTTTCTCTCAGGTACATCACCAGTGTAAGCTTCATGGTGAACACTTCTGCATCACTCTTGACAACATAGTCCATAGTTACAACAAAAAATGATATTTTTTTCCCATCACTCCACCCTATGCATTTCATTTTTGTTGGGTATTTCTGTTGAAAACCAGCTGAGGAATGATAACAGTGCTACATTTTTTAAGTGACTATAAATGAAACTTTGATTGTATTATTATTATTATTATTTTAACAAGGTATAAAGTATTCATGTGTTTTATACAAATGGAAGCACAAAAGACATCAACCTATAAAAATAATTTCTTTAAAAATTGGAAGTATACACTCTTAAAAATAAAGGTGCTTCAAAAGGTTCTTCAAGCGATGCCACAGAAGAACCATTTTTGGTTCCACAAAGAACCATTCAGTCAAAGGTTCTTTAAAGAACCATCTCTTTCTTACCTTTTTATAATCTGAAGAACCTTCTTTCGCCACAAAAAACCTTTTGTGAAACAGAAAGGTTCTTCAGATGTTAACGGTTCTTTATGCAATCATTGAGACGAAAAGGTTCTTCTATGGCATCGTGAAGCACCTTTATTTTTAAGAGTGTATAATGTTACATATAATGTATGTATACACTACCATTCATAAATTTGGGCTCACCAAAATGTTTTTAAAAGCAGATTATTTTTTTATTTAAGGCAAGGATGCATTAAATTCAAAAGTGACAGTAAAGACATTTATAATTTTACAAATAAATGCTGACCATTGAACTTTCATTGAATTTACAACAGTTCATTGCGCTGTTTTCAAAATTGATAATAAAAACAAATGTTTCTTGAGCAGCAAATCAGCATTTTAGAATGATGTAAATTGCAAGAATATTTATTATATTTGAATTGCAATCATATTTTACAGTATTACTGTTTTACTTTATTTTGATCATATGCCGCCTTTGTGAGCATAAGAGACTTTCAGAAAAAAATTTAAGAAATCTTACCGACCCCAAACTTTTGATTTCATATGTTGAAGATGGTAATAATTTCACACCTTATTTTACCATGATCATAGCATGATTACCCTTAAACTCTTTTTCTCTTGTGTGTTTGCAGAACCGACAGACAGTTTTGTCCAAACAGATCACCACTAAAGAGCCAGTGAAAGGTGTGCTCATGTCTTACACGCTGATGGACTTGCGTATTCCCCTGCCGTATGAGGTCAGCCTCACTCCCATAACCAGCTACGGCACTGGAAACACGGTCACGCGCACCATCCAGTACTCAGAGCGTAAGTCACCTTCCACTTATACCAGACATTTAAGAATTACAGTATGCAAGATCTCAGTTGTCAGTTGGCTACTCGCATCTATTTATTTTTATCTTAAAGTTGAAATGCATTATTTTATGTTCTTTCAGGTTGGAAGTATAACATTTTTGATGCATTTTGATTTTTTATTTTATATGGGCAAGCGCAAAGCATAGCTGGGCTAGTTGTGGAATGAGAATCAGAGCCAGAATTGTTAAAATCCTCATGATTCCCATCAACAGAGGTCATGCATTTCAAATGTGAGGTTTCGCTTTCGGGATTATGTTAAATTGAGATGTCAAGTGTGTGGCAGCCATCGTGTGTTAAGTTTGCTGATGGCTACAGAACAGTAGGAACAGGCCAGCGGTTTCAGCACCAGAGCTGAGTCTGGATCTCAGAAACGGCTGATAGAATCTAATCCCATTGGATAGTCTTTCAATCTTCAACTCCCAATCTCAGCATTTACTCTAACCAGACCAAAAAATGGCCAACCTCCAGAATAAATGGATTGCTGGAAGACATGAAACCCTTCTTCTGTGGTGTCAAAGTGGTATACACAAAATTGCTCCAGTCCTCTGATTTGATTGGCTGAGTAAACAATGTGTATGGTTTTTTATTAATTTTATTTTATGTATATGTATATATAGTTTATTTATATTAAAGTGTTCAGTTAAATATATGTAAATACATATTGTTAATATGCAATATCTCAAAAGAAAGAACAGAGCCCCTGCTTTAAAAAAAACTAAACAAAAAAAAAATGACATCTCATTCGGTAATGTTAGACAGTTTTTATTTTTATGCTGTTTAATGCTTGATGATCACGTTATTTTACATATGCATCTGCTTAAAATACTGCATGTGATCGCTTGTTTCTGCTTCTTCTTCACCTTCTTTTCATTCAGACGTTCAGGACTCTTTCAGAAGATGTGTCATAGCACCTCCTACCATGTAACAGTGAAAACATAAAAGTCTGAAAATTCTGTCGAAAAACTGAGACTGTCCTGCTCTCAGTTACTGAATCCCTGAGACTGGCAAGAGCAGCTTCCAAATCATCAGTACTCATCTTGCTGGATCTGTCTGCTGCTTTTGACAGTTAACCACAAGATCCTCTTGTCCACCCTCATGAAGATGGGCATCTCAGGAAACGCACTCCAGTGGTTCAAGTCTTAACTCTCATGTAGATCCTTCAGGGTGTCTTGGAGGAGTGAGGTTTCTAATGGCGCTTTTCCACTGCATGGTGTGGCTAGGCTCGGCACGGTACGGTACAGCTTGGCTCGGCTCGGTTTGTGTTTCCACTGCAGTTTATACCGCTTTAGAGTGGGTGGGATTATAGACATGTTGCGCCACCTCTACTGCCGTGACCTCCTGAAAAACTTTTTCATTCTGCGTCGTCCCATCAAGCTCTTGCTTGATCCGCTCCTCAGCTATCAACGAGAGGAATGTCTGTACTTCCTCAACAGACCACGAAACAGCCATTATTTTGTTTTAAAAAGGTGCTCTTATTTGAAACTGTTGCGTTTGTTCAAAAAAACTTGCATTTGATCCTCGCTGGCTGTGCTGATTTAATCTAACGGGTCTAGTGTCTCGTGTCGCAAGTTCAATGCAATGGCAGTGGCGATTTTCTCCGGCAAATCACTGATCAGCAGGGTTTACATGTCACATTTTGTTAACGGTACGGCTCGCTTGGAACCTCAGCCGAGGTGGTACTGAAAAAAGCACCAGGTACCAGGTACTGTACACAGTGGAAAACCCCCCAAAAGCGTGCCATGCCGTACCATGCAGTGGAAAAGCGCCATAAGTCACAACGTCTTGCTACTGGGGTTCCTCAAGGCTCAGTGCTTGGACCACTTCTCTTCTCCATCTACATGTCATCATTAGGATCTGTAATTCAGAATCATGGCTTTTCAACTCTACTTCTCATTCCAACCTGATGATCCGACGGTAGCTGTTCGCATTGCAGCCTGTTTGACAGATATTTCTGTCTGGATGAAGGACCATCACCTTCAACTCAACGTTACTAATACAGAACTGCTCGTGGTCTCAGGCAACCCAGAACTTCATTACAACTTCTCTATACAGCTAGGTTCATCAATCATAACTCCTTCCAGGACAGCAATGAACCTTGGAGTTGTGATTGATGAACAGTTAAGCTTGACAGACCATATTGCTACAATGGTCCGGTCCTGCAGATTTGCCTTATACAACATTAGGAAGATGAGACCCTTCCTATCAGAGCAGGCCGCACAACTCCTTGTCCAAGCTCTTGTTCTCTCCAGACTGGACTATTGTAATGCTTGCTTGGCGGGCCTTCCGGCATGTACTATCAAGCCTCTGCAACTGATCCAGAATGCAGCAGCGAGAGTGGTCTTCAATGAGCCGAAGAAAGCCCATGTCACACCTCTTTTCATCATTTTGCACTGGCTGCATCAAATTCAAGGCACTGATGTCTGCCTACAAGACAACCACTGGTGCTGCAACAATATACCCAAACTCGCTAGTTCTGCAAGGGAGTGACACCTTGTGGTGCCATCCCAAAGAGGCACAAAATCACTCTCACGAACCTTTTCCTAGACTGTTCCCAGCTGGTGGAATGACCTACCTATCTCAATTAGAGCAGCTGAGTCTTCAGCCATTTTCAAAAAAACGTCTAAAGACACATCTTTTTCACCTGAAATATTTCTTCTTATATTTTGTAACATATTCTTCTATTCATATGCTTGTGTAGAGTATGTTTCGAACTTATAATTACTATATGCATGTGCCAAAAAACAACAAAAAAAACCGGCAAGGTATATCTCGTTTATCGTGACTGTTAAAACATTAAGGTTTATTTTAAAGTGACATCTGTCTATTCGCTCTGCTTCAAGCAGTCTTTTGTGTGTGTGTTTCTTCCTGGCATATTTAAGCTGATCAAGCACGTCATTCAGTGCCACACTGTAGTAATTCTTAGTGAAAGTACACAGCTCAATAACATTGGAGACAATAGTCAATTTGTAATTAGATTAACAATTTTATATACACTACCGTTCAAAATTTGAGGTAAGTACGATTTTAAAAAAATAAATTAATACTTTTATTCAGGGCCTAAAATTAACACTCGCCAAGCGCCAAATGCGAGTAAAAATCAGCGTTGGCGAGTATAGTGCCAGTTGCCAGTTGGCAGGAAAAACTTTAACGAAATATAACAATGCAATGTAGTGGGAACAACAGCCCATTTTTAAAGAGATTCGCTGTTTCTGACGTAAGCGAATAAAATAATCTTTTCCGAAGACAAGATCATCGTGATTGGTTAGTTGTTCTGTCATAAGCGACACATACAAACGGGCTGATAAGGTCAGATTAATTTCGGAAGATTAACTTTTCCCTTCTTTGTTCTTCATAACCCGAGAATGTGGCGACACATACCTGGTGTTACGCCGCAGAAACGGTGCAGTGAAGTAGGCTATAGTTTAAAAGGTTGCTCGTTCGGCTGTACACAGACACTGAGCTGCTTTAGACAGCGCACCAGTAGCGCTTCAGTGGACGAAAACACAATTATGTCAAAATATGCAGTTTTGGCGAGTAACCTCGTAAACGTAGTTTTAAATGAGTTATAAAGTCTTAAATGACCGTAAAGAGTTTGGAGAAGATATGTGTCAGATCCGCGTCATGTGCATCAGGTTTTAAAGAGGCAGCGCTGCTTTTAAAGTAAAACCTGCTGAAGTCTGTCATTGATGTAAATCAAAGAACAAAAGAAAAATCACACGACTGCTCAAGACGCTGATTAACTTTTGTAGCTTGAATAAAGAATAATCTGTACAGTTTATGCATATACAACTTATAGTTTATGTGAAGATTGTTTTAAAATCACTTAATATTTCAGAGCCTATTAAATGTTAAAAATAATGGCTTTCAGTTATACTGTAATGTTGAATGGCTATAATTAATAGGTACAATTGAGGGAAATGTATTAAATAGAGACACCAGTAGCAGTATTGGTATCAATACTTCATTAATAATATACTACTTAGTAAAAAGATGCCATTTAAACATATTTAAAATATTCTATCTTTATATTGTTTCTACATTAATTTGAAGGTTACATGTGAAATTTTGACTATAAATATGCAATTAATCATGATTAATTACAGAAAAATGTGTGATTAATTATTTTTTTAATCGATTGACAGACAGCACTAATTTTTCCGAATTCAATTTAATTGAAAGATCGGGACGGCCCCCACCCCCTTGGCCCCCTTCAAATTTTCAGTTTGATAATTCGGCCCTCAAATGAAGCTAATTATTTAGCCCTGCTCTAATCTGTTAACATGGATGCGGAAATAAATACGCACCACATACGCACTGCAAACTGAGTATGTGTGAAACAGGTGTAACACGATGGCCTGCTCAGTTTGCCGAACAAGAATCTCAACGTTTTTTAGGGACAAAAAATAAAAATATATATATCAATAAATCTGTTTGTTGTTTTTTTTCTTGTAAGTAAAGTAAAGGACAAATTAAAAATATTGTAAATATGTTTAGTCACTGTAGTAGTAATGACTGCCTGTTTTTGCAAAAAGAGTTTCATGGCCGATCAAAAAAAAATGTGGCCGGTAAATTTTATCACATCACCGGCCATTGGTAGGTGTGGCAAAAAGTTAGTTTTAGGCCCTGCTTTTATTTATTGAGGATTAATTAAATTTATCAAAAGTGACAGTACAATAATTTAAAATGTTGCAAATTATTTTGTTTCAATTAAATTAAAGAATCCTGGAAAAAGGTATCACCATTTCCACAAAAATATTATAATGTTTTTAACATTGATAATACAAAAACAAACAAACAAAAAAAAGTTTGTTGAACACCAAGTCAGCATATTATAATGATTTCTGAAGGCTCTATATATATCAAATTATAATAAAATAAAAATGTTTTGCATGCAAAACGAGGCTGGACAAACTGAACCGAAACAGAGAGAACTTAATGCCCAGTTCAGACTA